TCAAAATTACGTAGTCTAATTAAAGATCAAATCAATATAAAGTTTTATCTATGGAATTTCTTCGTAAATAAACATGATGTCAGCAGTGTAGCATAAGACGACATTTGCCACGAAGTTGTGGCCCGTCACCGCCAGAGGCCGCTACGGACCGGCCTTGTATTCGCCGCAACAAGTGCTTCGATCCTAATCCGATAACTGATACCTTGTTTCTCATTATTTATTGACTGCGGAAGAAAAATTTTAGTATTTACATATCTTTTAAATGGTAAAAAATATGAGGATAAATTAAATAACAATTATATTATAGCTCCATTTTTTTTACAGATATGTACCTGTTTGGGGATCCTCTGAATCGGCAAACGTTCCGTGGATCATTTGTAGTGACTTCATGGGGGGAAATTGAGGAAGAAGAGAACGATCTGGAAGTAAAGAACAGCACGAGAGAATATGATTTACGGCAGGCGCTACACGACGCCTACAGTAATTCTGAGCTGAGATCCTGTTTTGTTGGCGCTGAAATTTTAGCTCTTGACAGGTAATCTTTAAACTGTAAAATCAAAATACAAAATGACACAGTAATAAATAAGTAGATAAAATTGTATTTCTTCATTGATCGATTTGCAATTATCTCAATCTGAAGACACATAATAATTATATTTTAGTTAGCGGTAATCTGTTAAAATTAATGTATTTTTTTTTTAAATTTCAGACAGTTACTTACTAACTACGTTTAAATTATGTGTCAATTCACCTAGTTTTTTAAACAACAAAAACGTGTGAAATGTTCGTCACAGTTCTCAATAATTAGCATTACATGAACACCACGTAACCACGATACGCACACGAAGCTTCTATGTCTGCTGATAATCTATTACAAAAGGTCGATCTACTTTAAGTAATGCACCGGAATTTTGACATTTGAGTAACTAGATCTTATACATAACGAGCGGACATTTGATAATCTTTTCTAATAGTTTTTACCACCACAATCATGTATTGATCAAAGCTTTTTTTAAATTAAAACTGAGGGTAGCTCTTTCAAATCCTATATTCATAATAAGCCAAATGAGAACAATAACTTCACTGGTGTGTTTATTGGTAATCGGTAAAACTTTTTAAAATAGCATGACTTGTGAGAATTCTCTTAAAAAACTAAACCCGGTTAACAAATAGAAAACATTTATAGCACATAAACAAACGGTACTAGATAGAAATTTACCGTGAGATTCTGTGCGTAATGAAATTACGACATTAAATTTTAACGCAGACATTTATATTTTGACGAAATAATAGTCCTATTCAAATATATGTTGTTATAACCATTAAGTAAGTGTTAAATTGTAGATGATTAAAAAACTAGGTCGAGCATTAAAAAACATTAAGAACATGTAATTTAAAGAAATTATGCATATTGCGAAGCAAAACAGTGATTTTCATTTCACCGCAACGTGTAAGTACTTATAAGCTTGCTGGAGAAAGTTCGCTTTCTCGACATCTCACGAGATCAGCGATCGAGCGTGCGACAGGACAATAAAGAAAATAAAAGTTCGCCGTTACATTATAGTGAATCGTAATTGATCTACAAATGTTATTTAAAGCATGACGCCAATACATATCTCGTATTGAACGATGTTACGAAACAATCGCATTCATGTCTCTGAACACACGACATCTCATGTTGAGGAACTGCAGATTA